GTAGATACCATAAACACACACAAACTTTAATTGACGCAAGTAAAGAGGTTGGTCTAGAAGTAAACACAGAGAAAACTAAGTATATGTTGCTGTCTCATCACCAAAATGCAGGGCAAAATGATGATATGAAGAGAGGAAACAGATGTTATGAGAATGTGGCACAGTTCAGATATTTGGGAACAACTATAACAGATCGAAACCTGATTCAGGAGGAAATTAAGAGGCGACTGAACTCGGGTAATGCTTGCTACCATTCAGTCCAGAACTTTTTGTCTTCTCATCTGTTGTCCAAAAACATAAAAATTAGAATATACAAAACTATAATTTTGCCTGTGGCTATGTATGGGTGTGAAACTTGGTCTCTGACATTAAGGGAGGAACATAGGCTGAGGGTGTTTGAGAACAGGGTGTTGAGGAGAATATTTGGACCGAAGAGGGATGAAGTGACAGGAGGTTGGAGAAAACTTCATAATGAGGAGCTTCATAATTTGTACTCTTCTCCAAGTATAATTAGAATGATCAAGTCAAGGAGGATGAGGTGGGCAGGTCATGTAGCACGAGTGGGGGAGACGAGGAATGCGTATAGGATATTGGTGAGAAAGCCAGAAGGAAAGAGACCACGGCATAGGTGGGTGGACAATATTAGAATGGATCTTAGAGAGATAGGATGGGATGGTATGGACCGGAGAGATCTGGCTGAGGATAGGGACCAGTGGAGGCTCTTGTGAACACGGTGATGAACTTTCGGTTTCCATAAAATGCTGGGAAATTCTTGAGTAGCTGCAGAATTGGCGGTTCCTCCAGAAGCGCTCAGCTCCATGAGTAAGTTAGTAAGTGTTGCTCTCAGACGTTTATACCTACCACGTTTTCGAAGGATTCATTAGCCTTCTTACTCTTATGAGTTCCGTTTTCATTTCGGCCAAGAGACAACTCATACTTCCATTTCTCTGTGTTTACATATGAACCAACGTCTTGACTAGCATCTAATAGAGCTTCTGTGTTTTTCTGTACAGTGTTTATGTTATCCTTTAACAAATTAACATCATCATCATAGACAAGAAGTTGTGTCCCTCTTCAATTTAAGTCCCTTCGGATTATCTTTGAACTTCCTAAATGCGCATTCAAAAGCAAATAACGGCGACAAAGCATTAAGGCATTTCCTTTGTTTACATATAGGGAATTTACTGTAGGTTTAGTTTAAATACGTAAGTTCTTTTTTTGGGGGGGGGAGACCGAGTCCGCTGGATACGTCGGCCACTATTTGGCCTATTGTACCCGCCCCGGATGATAGATGATGAATATAGAGCAGTCGGTGGAATGAGAAATGGCAGGGGAAACCGAACTACTCGGAGAAAACCTGCCCCCATTTTCACTTTGTCCACCAGAAATCCCACGTGACCAGGCCTGGGCTCGAACCCGCGCCGCCGTTGTGGGAAGCCGGCGACTAACAGCCTGAGTTATGGTACGGCCATTTAAACACGTTTCAGTCAGAGTGTCTAGTTGCATGGGTATAGCAAACTCAATGAGAATATTGCACATTATTTCCCTCCTAACTAAATCGTAGGTCTTCTGTCTCAGTAGCTGATATACTACGTACATCTATCTACTCGCACACACGAGCACGCACACGCGCGCGCGGTATGAAACGAAATTCACGCAAAGGTTTCCCGTAGTGTGATTCCTTGTAAAGAAAAAATAGACAGAAATATTGTACAGCGTATGTCCTCTGACGTTTAGTTTTCGAGGTACGCGTCACCGTCAAATGGTGCAAACAATCCAATAATGAAACAGTGGGTGCCTCATATTTATGTGTGTTCGAAGCAGCCTGCATCCATTTCAGGATAGACCTGCGCTACACGGCATTCTCTCGAACATATTGGCCTCGACAGTTGTCACAGCTGCTTAAAGTCTTGTCATGAGATCTTCCATAGTCCTGGGAGGGACTGCATGGATGTGCTCCTTCAATGGTTCCCACAAGAAAAAAGATCCATTGGAGTTAGATCCGGTGAACGAGGAGGCCGTGCAATCGGCCTCCAACGTCCAAACCACCTTCTTGGATATGTCGCTTTCAACCACTGCCGGACATTACCCCATAATGTGCTGGAACTGCTGAAAGCACAACCCCTGCCTCATAACTAGAGGCACACTTTCAAGCAGCCCCGGTAGAATCTTCAGAAAATCGAGATGCCGTTGAGCGGTCAGCCGGTCGGCAACACACAGGGGCCCACGACAATGGCCCTGATGATTTTAGTCCAAACACTGACGCTGAAGCGGACTTGATACCCACTATCCCGTGTCCAGAGGTGACTGTTGTGGACGTTGAACACACCCACATACGTGAGCATGCTTCGTTTGTCCACATAATATTACATAGAGAGAACCCATTCGCAAAATTGTATCCGTAGAAGACGATCGCCTGGAAACAGAAGTGTGCTCCGCGCGTAGTTGTATGGATACAATTAATCGTCATTAAGAACTTCGAGGACCCTCGGTTGGGTTAGCCTCCACGTGAAATTCTTCAGGGCCTTCGTTCCACGGCTGCAGTTGTGGCACCTACATTGGGTGGTGTCCGTACAGCCTTTGGGCCACCTGCATTCACTTGTGCCGTAGGTGTTTTTTTTAATTCGCTTATTGGGGGGGTGGAGTCCAACTGGGTCCACTCGGCACGGCGGCCACTGATTGGCCTATTGTAGCCCGGCCCTGGTGATTATGATGATGGAGAATTTGGTGGAATGAAGATTGGCAGGGAAAACCGAAGTACTCTGAGAAAACCCGCCCCAGCGCCACTTTGTCCACCACAAATCCCACTTGACCAGACCCGAGATCGAACCCGGGCCGCCGCGGTGGGAAGCCAGCGACTAACCGCTTG